GTCGCCAACAAAGCTGCTGCGCTGTACTCACAAAGCACTTGAGGCGAAAGCGGCCGTAAAAGGCATCACACGAAGGCAGTCGATCGCGGCATGCAGTCGTCCGATTGCATAGCGTCGTGACAGGGTTGAAGCGTCCGCCCGATTTTTCAAATTGCAACTTGTGCTGACGCCTACAATTCATCTGCTGGTGCCGCCTTCGCTAATAGTGTTTCGATAGAGTCACTACTTCGAACGCTGCCCCCGCGAATGCTACCGCAACTACCTGGGTAACTCCAGCGACCTCGGCCCTGGGCGAGAGTGTCAATGCCAGGAAGACGCTCCCGGGTACCACCATTACGTGTAACTCCTGCTGCAGCGTCTTCCGCTCTTAGTGCGGAGCCTTTCTTTGTTTAGATGCGTCAGGAGACGCGCTACCCACCGCAGGACTCACGACATTGTGCCCACAGATACGCGTTGCTGCGCGCAGCTCGAGGACTGCAAGCTCTTCTTCCAGCGCGCATGAAACGCGCGTTTCTACTGCCGCTCCAGTGGCGGGAACCTCGGGTGGTGCTGTCTCATAATGACGTACAAACAACGTCAAGACTCTTCCTCCAGCCCTGGGCTGGCTCGTGACTACTGCGATCGCAGGTGTACGAAGCCCCACGACTCCCACTCAAAAGTGTGCTGCACGCCGTGCCGTTGACATCGGTGAAGGTACATAGGAACAGTATCCTTCAGGAACACTTCGAGGTCAGCAGGTCGCTACGCTAGATTCCGGGCTTCAGAAACCCAGTTTTGCGTAAGTCCTAGTACTCGTCGTCTGGCAAAGACTCCGGCATCATGAAACCTCGTCCATTCAGCAGCAAGTGATTCTCTTCGTCTTCCGGCGTGAGAAAAACCCGTTCGTCACATCTTGTCCTGCTAATTTCCTATGCAGGTGACGGATCTCAACAGCGTGCAGTGCAGTGACATTGTTATATCCTTGGAGGTCTCGCAAGCCCGTCTCCGATACCACGCCGCAGCTTCTGTCTCCCAATGAAGAGGCTGCTATGAAAGGCGAGGCTGCACGTGCTTATAGCGCTTCATACGTGGCGCCGGGGCACGTTTTAGAATTGCTTGCTGTCCCCGGGAGTGAATCCTGGCCTTTCATGAGGCGGCACGCGTCAGGGTGGAGAGAGGGCAACGGCACCGCTCCTGAGCGTGTACACAATTGCACAGCGCCAACGCCGCTTTTTTGCACTAGCGGATCGCGGCGCCCACACTCGCGCAGTGGACGCACCTTCATACATGGAACAACGTCGGCTATGTTCCTCATGCTAAGCGGATGACGACGCAGTTGGGCAACGTGCTACTCGGTTACTATGTGGCCCTTGCCGTTTCTCCGAATGGTGGTCTGTACGAGTAGCGCGTACCGCATCGAGGAGGCCGCTACCAAGGTGAATTGTCCCGCTCACCATTCGCTACAGAAGCGCAAACTCACGATGCTGACGACAGCGCGTGCTGGACGGTGATCGCTTGTGTTACTCTCACCCGTGCGTTCCGACACATACGAAGAGAACGCATGGGGGGCCAGCGTGCCACCAGCCCTTCCCGCCAGAAACACGGATCGCAGCCCGCGTGCGCGGCGACTGGTAATACTGAAGAGGAAGCGATGTGAAGTCTTTGAAGAAGCGTCTGCACTTCTTTGAACGCGGGGAAAAGGCGACCGCGAACTGATTGCTGGCCATCTGTACACGCGTAGGAGCTGATGTGTCGTCGCTCACAGCCACCGGCCGCAATGGGAGCAAACGCGCTCGCAGGAGCGTCCGTCTTATTCTTTCGTACACATGCGCAGAACGGTTATATAGCAGCCGCTGCAGTGACAAACTGATGACAGATCACTCGTTCCGCGCGCTGTCTTCATTACCGCCTAGGTGCCTGTCCGCGTAGTCACTTTCTCGTTATGGCACCTGCGTTGTCTCTTCATCCGGAGGAATGTGCTTTGCAAGCGCATCTACACACCTTTACGTGGCTCTTACAAGGCTTCGCACCCCGTGTACACTGACTGTCTCCATGCGCTCCGGTGTGAATGAATAGCACGGTATCTTGCCCATTTATGTCGCGGAGACGCGCCTTGGAGTATCGCGTCCTACTAGAGACACACACTCTCAATCACACCGCAGACGCCGGCCGGTACACACACACGGCTGCTTGCGGCCGGTCCCACCACGGACATGATTATATGTATATGCATATATGTATGTGTATGCCCTCACCAGGATGTACAGGTCTGCTCGAATACATGCCGCCGATGCACGTGTACACAAATTTACACAAGAGCGTCAGCCGTCGATGCGCTCGTGCACTGCGGCTGACCACGTGTGGACCCGCGTGGGGAGGCGCGTGCGTGTGCCCGAGTGCAAATGCTATCGCATCACTTCCGCGAACTGTACTGCGGAGACGGTCTTCCGGTGTCCCGCTTTCCCTGCTATTTCGTAACATCCATTCAGCCGTTAGTAGCATCGCCGCAAAAAAATCCTTTTCCTAGTGTAGACCCAGGAGCCAAAAGAGGGTAAGTCACCCTGACTCTCCCAGGCGAGACCGCTTTTTCCGATCAACATGTGTGTCAGTCCGCTGGCGTTGACAAGGATTCGAGCCTTTGCTAGCTCCCAGTGCGCATGTCAGTTGTAGTTTGGCCCACAGCATGCGTAGCTGTCCTGGCGCGCTCGCGCTTTCGTGCCGTACAATATCTGCGCGACGTCTGGGTTGTTGGCGGAGGCCCCACGCCTCCTGCTCCGTCTACCGAGGTTTTGCGTTCGCTCGCAACTGTTACACTGGGGTGCTCGTCGGGTGCGCCCTTCGCAGCTCCTTTGCGTCCTTTCCTCTGATTTCCTCTACCCAGAAGCCAGCAGTATGCGTCGTGCGCTCTTCCGCCGTTCGCTCTATGCTCACTCCGTCCGGGCAGTAACCCAAAGTAGGCAATCATGCCGACTACAGCCGTCGGCGTTGCTGCTGCTGGCTAGTGCTGGCCCAGGCGCGTGCCCTGTCGTCCTGCTTCCCTGCATCGTTTTTGCATGCGCGTGCACACCATGTGCGTGGGTACCACGCTGGCCGGTGCAGTGAGCAGGCGACCAAGCAAACCCAAGTGTCTACAACGTGATAGTGCTCGTACGGATTGTCGTCACTCTGTAATGCCACAAAATTCACGACTCGTACGCACGCAATGCGAATGCAACAGTGCCTTTTCGAAGCTGTGCGATCAGCAGCGGATTCGGTTGAATACGCAGAAAGACTAGTCTACTGATCACCTCTGGGGAAATAAGGCAGCCCGCGCGAAAGGCTTCTTCGCGCGGCCTCCGGTCACCCGCAGCAGAGGAACTTCCTTTGTGACACGCCTCACTGCGTCGCGCAGTCAGATCTACCCGCCTAGGCCTCGTCAAGCATCGTGTCTTGGACGTCACTCGGAGCATGGGGCGCAGTGTCTCCCAACAAAGAATGTACATGCCTTTGGTTGACTACAACAAGAGTGACTTATTCAGTAAGGCTGGTAGACGTGAGCGGGTAGCATTAAGGAAGCCGACTACACCGCAGACACGCAACCCTAGGGGGCAGGCGTACTGCGCTTTTTCCACTCGTCGCCTACGTGGGCGTCTCGCTTGAGGCGGACGCACCCGACGAGCTTAGACACCACGTTTTCTGCACGGCAGCGGGGTGTGGCCCCGGGACCTGAGGATAGGCTCTTGGGCCGAATAATTTGTGCACAGCATTAAGCAGAATCACCCCTTGACCTGCGGAGAGCAGGAGGAGAGACGCAAAATCGGGGCTATATACGCAGATGCGCCCCGGGAGCGAGTGGCCGACGCCTAATTCTCGTTCGGAATCACCGATGTACATGAGCGACGGCTACACCCTTCTAAGACCGCGATAACGATAAATTTTCTATCCGCTGGAAAGCCTGAGGCAGGGACCTGTCCTTCTTGTTGGTGCCCTATGGCACACGCAACCACATGAGTTTGCCAAGGAGATACGCAAATGTGACCGCGCCTGTGTACGGGGATGATTTCCGCAGCCCGCAGCGCACAGCTTTAGAAAAAGTGAGGAAGTGCCCTGCTGAGTACTGTAGCGTTGAGTCGGTAGGCTATACTTGGGCTTATGCGCAAGCGCACACAAAATAGATCAGTGCACCACTCCTGCGTCGTCCAGGGGACACGTAACTAGTTGTGAAGTAGCTGTCTCCCACTGTACGTGCGAGGTGCACACGTACGCGCCTTGCAGGTCCCCGCGCCTTGTAGATGCGGCCGAAAAGATGAACGTACGCATTGAAATCCTGTGGATCAGGGAAGCACTACCGCAGACCTCGAAGAACAAAGCCCCTGACGCAACGACCTGCTAACGGAATGCAACTCTCCCCTGCAGCAGGAGCCCGTTGTCACTCCACAAGTACTGTTGCTACACTCCGCGCATAGTCGCAGAAGCGGGTCTCTAGGGGTCAAAGGAACGCTGTCCCTTCACACCCCACGGTGCTGCCGATCTTCAAGCGTGTCAGGCGTCATCTTGTCTACAGACACGTGCCACAGAACAGCACTACTCGTGCGGGCATCTTATCAGTTTGCGTCCGGGGAACAACAACGGAAAAGCATGCTGCGCGGGCTGACAGCAGAGAACGGCGCCGGTGGGTGGAAACTGCCATACTTACGGACGGAAGAAGAAGCACAACACACATATATCCGAAAAATTCACAGGCAATATGTATGGCTTGGAACACTTTCGCACCTCGCAGTGTCTCGCTGCAGCTGCAGCTCTGCCAACCGCCGGTGGTCTCCCTGCAGCAAACTGCCCACATAGCTCTCCCGCGGAGCCAAGCAACAACGCAAGTGACATGCTAAGACACAAAACCTCCCTTCGCTCGCCAGACCTTTTTCGTACGAGTACTCTCTCTGCGGTTATTCGTACACTTTCGGTTCCGAATGTTCAGACCGACAGCTGTTTACCTTGTAGAGAGGAACTGTCGCCCCGGCAAATGCTCCTTAGCATGCGTCTTTTCATCCCCTCCCCTGCGGCAGCGCGCAGACAGACAGCACGGCGGAGCAGGGCGGCATCACCGACATGCGGACGCCGTAGCTCGACGTCATCGTGCGCTGAAAATTCTCTTCCGCTCTACAGATCTCCGTGCAGAGGGTCACACGCCGTTCAGTAGCAACTAGCATCGTCTGACGCCAACCAACTTTACAGCTTACATCGTCTGACGTTCCATCAGCGGACGCTTCAAAGCACGCAACGGACGCCACAGCTTCCGGAAAGTATTTCTTCGTGCGAGGTAGCGCCGCGGGCTAAGCGCGGAAGCGGAAAACCTCCCGAGCAGAGAGACATCCGCTTGGACCTAGTACTAGAGGGTACGTGTAGCTGTAAGTCATGCAGACATGCACACCGTAACCATCCACGCGGGGTTAGATGTCTGTCTGTATTGCAAGGGCATATGATTTACTCACTTTTTTGTGGGGGTCCTGACTTGTCTTCACAGGCTCGCGCGTGAACGCCACTACTGCTTTCCACTCGGGGAGGCGAAAGCAGCTCACCCGCGGGTACTCGTGCGCTCGACTCTATGCGTAGACTGTGAGACAGATTTCCGCGCTGCTCTCCACTATCATGTAGAGTAGCTTGCACATACACATGTAGGTCCCGCCCGTAATGTCCGAAGGAATAGCGGACGCCGTGCAGCGCAGGTTCGTTGGCTGTACACTCATCAGCGTCTACTCAGAACGGGTGTTCCCTGCGAGCGGAAAGCCCTGCCGCTGATGAAAAAGGTGGCCACTATATGCGCGTGATCGGGATTGCCTGCGCCGTACGCAAGCACGTGCACAAACGCGAGGAGCTGCTCGATCGAGGCACTGCCGGCATGGAAGGTTCTCCAGAGCTACATGTCCACCTGGAAAAGGCCATTGACGGATGACTACCGGCACCGTTCGCATATATAGTAATATCGGCAGTACCCTAGGAACTCGCTGTCGTCGGTCGGCTTTTGGCATGGGGCGAACTCAGTCCATTGCCTGCTCTTCTTGCGTCGTCTCCTACGAAGGGAAACTATATATCGCAACACGCTGACAGGCATTTACGGTTGTCGGTGAAGTAGCGTATCTCAAAAGATACGTTGGAACGGCCTCACACAGTCAATCCCGGCTGACACGATTGTTCTACATCATGGTGTGCCAGCAGGGAAAGCCCCCTGCACTAATTCGGTGTATGCAGACACTTCTGCACGCAGTACGTACTCCACCACCCAATCTATTCTCTGTAAATGCCATACGAGTGGCTGATGAATTTGTGTATTTTCCGCTATGCTAGCGACAGACGGCCGCTGTGCTCGCGCACGTGTTGCTACGGATTCTCCATATGCACCAGGCTGCACTGCAGCTAATACAGGCCGTGGGGTGGCCCTGTCTGCAACACGACACCCAGGCTGAAAACGCTCGCTGGGGCTGATTGCCTGTATGAGTCGAACAACTTCTTGATCTCACAGAATGCACAGTACATCATGACAAAGCGAAGCTCGGAACGTATGTATTTGAACGCGTACAGAGGAACCGTTAGGCGACGCGATACGCTGTAATCCACCTCGCACTCATCGGAGTGGGAGCGTCTGTCTACAGTTTTGCACAAGAGTCTCACTGTGCACTGCACAACCCACAATAATGCAGCGAACTACTGCCTTGCAAGTCGTCTCCGCCTGTGTGCGCAGCGGTGCCAGGGAACGCGCTCAGCTACCCAACTCTTGCTCTTCCAGCGGTAAGGTGAAACTACGCAGACGCAGTAATCCAAGTTCCGGACTGATTTCGTATATGTCCGCGTTGACATTATTGTGGCACGCGCCACCACGCACCCCGCCACGCAGGCGTTCACCGTCGCACGAAGCCCAGCCGCGGACGCTTTGGAAAAACCGATATCTGCCTGTCAAACACATCAGTGCGGCTACGGTTCCAGCTACCCGGGCCCAGAAGCAATCTTCTACCTTGAAGTCACTAGTTCCCTTCCTCATCTCGAAATCGCTTGTCTGGTACCTACCAGCAAGCACCTGTAAAGCGCGCACGCGACTGCCGCTTAGTACGTTCCTCTGTTCGAGGGTGATGCGCCAACAGACAGCGACCAAAAGAACGAACTTCTGTACATTCTCGTCGGCAAGCCAGGCTCGCGCTTAACGTGTCTGCTGCAGGGATCTACCGTAAGCACAATGCCGCTACTACCGCCTGCTGCGAGACGTCTGCGGAAACGAAAAAAGGACGGCACCTCATTCACACGAGTCCAGCATAGCCGTGCCAAAGTTGTGTTCGTAACACTCTCCCCGGGACGTGTACACACTTGTGCCTTCTACGAGGAAGTGTCCGGTTGTCGCTCGACACAAGCCCCCTTTCTAAGAATGCATCGTACGCTTACCATATCAGGCACGGGCGCCATTTGGCGCCGAGACCGCAGCAGAGCCGCTGCCGTCATCGTCCGTGCTCTAGCAGCCTTAGTCATGAGACTGAACCGGGCGACGCCGAACAAATACCAGCGTGCGTGCTGCTAGACAAGGTGTGAACGCTGCCGAGGGCGCGCGCATCATGACCAGACAGCTGCAAGGGGGCCGCAGGGGCGGAGACTGCTCCTGCGAGTTCCGCCTCAGACGCCGCAGCTCTAGTTATTCAAATTTCTAGGGGTACCTCAACTCCCGTTTTCCACCGCACTGCTGCTACGCCTGTGTTTCCTGTCCAGACTGAGGACGTACCTAGACGATAGTGGCGCTAAATACCGGCTCCTATCGACATCCGTGGCACGAAGCAAGCGCGCATACCTTCCGCTGAGCAAGCCTGTCTTGCTCTTGCTTTAGCAACTGCCTTTTCGGGCGTGTATTTCTGCAGCAGTCGACGCAGCTGCCCCTCAAAAACGGAAACGTAGTCGCGTTTCATGGCGCGCGCATGCGTGCACGTATCTCCACCAATCCCACGCTGGCGTACGCAAAAACCCGCGCACGTGCGTACGTCCTAGAAATTACAGCTGTAAGCGAATCGTCAACGGCCCCCGGGGAACTTCTCTGACGAGCACTATAGTCTCCCACAGGCGCGCGGAATCCGACACAACTCTATGCAGCGAAGCGCCAATCACTGCAGCTTCCGCGTACTATTCGGTGCCTTCTCAGACGAGGGCTAGAAAACTAGGACTTACGAAAGCGCGTGCGTAAGGCGCGTACTCGACTTCTCGACATGCACTAAGCAGCTTACTTGTTAGAAAGAATTGCTGCGGACGTTTCTCAAGTCGTGATGCAGCATTCGTGGAAGCAAGGATTCTCATCTTTGGGTTGTGTATGCGGAATGTGCTGCGTCTCAGCGCGCCTTCAACGACGTATCGCATACGCCGCAGGGGTCCTGAGGGAGTGAATTGGTGCCCGATGGCCACGCGCAGGAGGCCACTCGCATGAGGTGCTACTTAACGCCCACGAGTGCTGCTCCTGGAGCGTCGTTCTCATTCGTGGTTGCTCGGCGCTCTCGGCGCAGCGCTTGTACCTCCTCGGGAGCTTCTTGGCTTTCCCCGCAGAAGAGACACGCTGGATGCGCTTCTGGTATCCAGGCCCGCCTTGTAAATTCCTAGTTACTGCGGAGGCACCGTACCTCCATCCTACGGGGTGCAATGTCCCATCCAGGCGGTTTCGGCCTTCTCGACCCTTACCGAAGCAGCGACGTGCGGATGCTGGTGAGCGCCTTGCCTTCCGAGCGGCGATACCTCATGACCTAGGCTCCCTCAGGAGGGACGAACCACAACGGGTGTTGACACGTCTATATGCAGGGATGACGCGTGTGGATCCGCAAACGATGCGGCACACGTCGATACTTCTACAAGTATGCATGCGTGCACACGCAGAGGACCCCTAATGATACACACTATACACGCGCATACGCGATGGGGGCTGCCTGCTAATTCTTCGTCTGGAGAGTTGCACCTGGCGCGCAGGGAGTCCGCCTCACACCTTTGGCGGAGGGCGCCGCCAGTAATACCTTGAGAGTCCATCAAGGCGCGGCGAGCTTGCTGCACTGTACGCGGTCACCCAGACACTCTACAGGCATACAGTATGCACAGCAACTGCTGCATTCAGCACGATATCGTTTTGCAACACGAGCTTTTCGTCCGGACCCGGGAAGTCACGTACCGGAAGCCTAAAAAGTTATCACTTCATTAGCGCCGCCGCCGATCGTTCCACCAAGGCAGAGTTGCTGCTTTGCACAGGTCACGCCATGGGATGCAGACGTCCTGGAAAGCGTTCTCCTCCACGTTTCGTGTACGACTTCCACGTAACGTGCTCCCTGACCTCAGGCGCGTCGGAATATTGCTCGTTATGGCCATTGTCCTAGACAACTGTGACTCTGTCCTAAGTACTGGGTTCGTCTACCTCTCGGCACGGGCAGAGGATTCCGTCCGTGCAACTATCGCATCCTCACTCTATACATCCGGGTAATCTTGTGAATGGAGACGGTCTTTCATCAAATAGTGAACTACGCGGGCTAGAAGGAGTATCGCATAGGCACAACTTAGGCCCAAGTAAAACAGCGACCCAACCGTTCGGAACTGACACTCGTCGCCGCGGCTCTGGCACGGAGTCCCTGCATAAGCGGCCAGGAAAAAAAGACCCCCAACAAGCAGCGTTGCAAATATAAACTCAGAAACTAATTTGAAACGCTCTGCATGGGCTAGGTGGGCTCGAATACGCACTTCCCGCAGATTTTGATGACGGCCGACAGGGGCAGGAGGGCGGCGTGGCGGCACGAGGAGCCGAAGCCGAACATTGGGCGTATATACCCACTCCTCCCCTAGAGAATCATAGTCGCTGGATTCGCTGTCCTCCCTATCGCGCTCGGCCAGCCGCCGAGGAACAGGCGAACTTAGCCCGATGCCGGCTTGTGAGCGGTCGCTTGTGATGGCGCTCGCGGGATCGGGTGCACACACCGCGCACTTTGACAAGACACTGCTGTGCTAGTGAAAGAAAGAGAACTACGGCAACGGATCGTGGACGCAACACAAAGGGCCGGGAAATGGGAACTACACGGCGGATACCTGCGTCGCCGTTAGCGCAGCGACAGCGTAATATGCCTCGTTGCTCTGCAATCGAAGCCACCACGTAGGCCCTTGTTCTTCCCTTGTGCTGTGTATTGTCTCGTCCGTTGGCTGGACTCGGACCCTTCGGAGACTCTGCCGTCTGCCCTACGGAAGAGCCTCGTTGCACGCCACGCCATTTGGAAGCGCGGCGCAGTCGGCTACGGTGTGGGTGGCGGGAGGCAGGCAGGGTGGGGGAAAGGAACGACGAAGGTGCTATCGTGTTTAGATCCACCAGCGACTAACACCACGGAACGCGCGCGTGTAAAGAGGCGGGGGCTTCTGCTTCATCTGCCGTCGAGACTGCGCAAAGGGGGAACACGGATTCGGCGCGCCCGCTCGAAGTGGAAATGCTGCTTCGGAAGAAGGGCCAAAGCCATGGGCACGCTACAACCACAATGCCAGGAAACACCGACTCAGGCGAAGCGTGCAGTGCGGAGAGTTCCCGCGGGATCAGCGCTGCTAACGAGACGCCTCAGTTTGCGCAGCGTCCCCAGCGAGGGGAAGGCGCGCAGGTTCCCTGGTGGACTGCAGGCACCCCGCAGCAGTCCGCCCCATACTCGGTGGCAGGAGTTGCATTGTCGATGCGTTCTGCGCACCCTGTCAAGGAGCCAGTCATACGCAGGTTAGTGTCGACGCATTCCCGCCGTCCGCCGTAACAGCGAATTATGGGCACACTGTTATCGACGCGCGCCCCACGCCATCGTCTGTATCTTGAGTAAGCAGCATGCAAGCTGTACGTCATGAGCGATGATAGCACTGTCTTTTCGTTTCACACGAGCTAGGTGGTAGTGCGCCAGGTTTTCGCGCCCCAATCACAGAAGACGCGGCGGAGAAAGTCCGTGTCGACCGTGCGCAATGGCGAAGAGCCAAAGTCTGCTTGCCGTGAAGCGATGCTGACCTGGTGAGATGGCGGCGCATGTGCTTTTTCCCTGCTGGGAAAGCGACGCCTTCACCCCCACCCTGTTTAGGGCTTGCAAAAAACAGAGTAGCGCCGTGTTGTCTTAGCCGCAGATGCAGCGAGCTAGCCGCATGGGTGCAGTAGTGCTCGTGTGTCCCACAGGCTCCGACAGTCCATCGCGCCTGACAGGTGGGTAGACGTCGCATGCTGATTCCCCACCCGCCTCAGCCCTCGTCGCATGCCGTTTTCCCTCACTCCCACTGTGCGTACTCCCGTTCTTGTGGCCGTGCTGCTTCCATTCTACTTCAACCTTTTCTGCGTCTTACTGTCCTTCCTCTGGCTGCTGCCGTGCCCCTGGCTGCTGCGCCTCCTGCGACAGCTTCTCTGGCACCCCACAGGACGCCCTCCTCGTCGTCGTCGGCGTGCAGAGTCGTTATTATTGCGTGCAGTGAGGCGGGACCCACAGTCGTTGGTAACGTAGCTAGGTCCGTACACCCTCTCTATCCACTTGGGGTTGCGCTTCATGGTCTTGCTGTTGTAATCATTGCCAATCGCGGCGGCCACCGCTGCCACCGCTTCATGTGCGCCTTTAGTTGTCGCCAGCGCGCAAGGCCGCAGTGCGTCTGGTCCACCAGCGCAGGCTGATATCCTGGCGCCGCTTGTCGTAGTACGTACCTCAACGTCACGCATACAGGGACTAGCTGCGCGCCTCACTTGGCGCACGTGCAGCGGGGGAGCGGAGCTTCTTTTCTCTCTATGGATGAAAGCGTGGCTATGCTGGGACACATAACCAAGCGCTATATCGGGTAACTTTGTGATTCTGTATCCAAGCGCAAATGTATCTATGTCCGGTCTCCAGGGAATGAGGAAGGACGTAAAAGCATCTCTGAATAGTCATTCACGCCGGGAAGCTGACTAGCTAGTGCGTGTGCCTTTCGCAGAGCTACCGACGGATAGATGCGGTGGTCTTCACGTCTGCATGACAGGAATCGACAGGAAAGCTTTCCGTGCGCTTGAAAGGCCGCACGAAGGAACGTACACTGACTCGTACGGCACCCTCAGTTGTATCCGCCTCCGCACGCAGGACACGCTTGTATAAGTGAGAGACTAAACGCGGAAGAACGCCGTTGTTAACTCGTACGTTGAATACGAAACTGTGAACGAATGTACTCAAAGTCACAATGTTTGGGGCGCGCGGCGCTAATGGGAAGCTGCAAGGTATAGAGCTCATTTTTTGCCCACAGTTCTGCGCGCCCGTGCGATCGTGGGTGGCCCGGCACTTGACTGAGGCTGCCCTAAAAGTGAACACACCTCCTCTCCGGTTTGATTCGGTGAAGTCCGTCTGTCAAGGCCTTAAGGCAGAATGCTCGTAACGCGGCAGCGCACAAACGGAATGAAAATGTCAAGTATGGGAAGTCCGGCTTCTAAGCTGCCCTAACAGTTTCAGCTCTTCACGTACGTCTGCTGAGCGAGCTGATCTCGGCTCGTCCACCGGCCACTGTTACACCTTCAGCAGTGTTACCACTAGTCTTCTTTTCACATACAAGCACAGAGAGGAAAACAACACCGGAATACCGTCGTGCGAGACTCCTTGAGGATGTCCCCCGCAACAACAGAAACCGGCCAGCTGTGGGGCCTCCGCTGCCGATGCGGAGTGCAGCAAGTACAGACGAAAGAGCGAGGACCGCGTTAGTCTTGCCTGGTCTGCACACGAGCAACGAAAAAAAATATCCTAACCCTTTCGCAGCCGGACCATCAAAGTACGTGGAGTTGTGCTAGTTGCTGCTCGACTTGCAGCGGCAGCTCGGTCTCGATGGTACCCCCACAGAGACAGGCAGCACTGCAAGCAGGTGGCTTTTTGTGTTGCGTGCGGCTGCCTTTTGCGTCACAAGAGGTTCGTCGAGCATCTGCACTGTTGTGAGCCGCGGGCTTCAATTTTATCTTCACAGAGGAAGAGTATATGGGCAGCTGTGTAATTCTTCATGTGACTTCTGTAGCTCTCGCCGAGGGCGCTCCTTACCACGTGTCTTTTCATCCCTCATCTAAAGAGCACGAGCGCTTTAAACACGCGTACAACGCACCAGCACATCGTCACCGCCCGACGGGCGTTCTGTAAATAGTCTTTTCCAAGCGAGGAATGTCTGTACACAGGAACTGGCGCTGCTGAACACCGCCGGATACGTCGTCCGACGACTACCCAGAATGTTTTGTCTAGCATCCCCCAGGTACACAGGCTTCGCGGAGAGACCCCGGGTCCACACAGTCGAGGACGGCACACGCGGAACGTATACCGCCACTGCGGAGCGGCATTCCGGTCTTCGAACAAGATTGGAAAGTGTCCCGCTAAGGAAGGGGACCTCTGATCTCGATGCGAGGCCGTCCGTGTAACTGTGCGCCAAGCCTATACACATGACTAGGTGTAACAGCCCCCACGCGCCTCAGTGTCAGCCTAAAGTAAAACAATATCCCAGCTCTCTGGTTTCACACAGGTTAGGCTTGGTCCCACACAGTCGCACAGAAAGACCACCGCTTTCTTACAGCCACAGTGAGGATGACAGTGCTCGGTCAGAAATTTGTGCACTCTGCTCTATACACACTGCGAGGTGTATCTTGGTGATGCTCTGCACCAGGATGCAGAGTCTACTTCCTATATAAACATACGCTTGCCGGCAAGGGCTACAGAGGGTAGACCCTGCAGGTCCTACAGATAGAACGAAGCGGACTCCGTGTGGAAGCAGATCCGTTGACCGCCTCGTCATTAGCTGGAGTTGGGGAAGCTTGCCCTCGATGCGAGGAGCATCTACCAACACTGATGAAAAGGTGGCCGCTTGATGCGCCCGATCAGCTTCGCTCCTTACGCTAGCAAATTCGAAGCGCGCAGGCGACGAGCTGCTCAGTACCGCCTGCAGCCCAGTATCATGGTGGAAGCAGGGGCCAGATCGAAATTCCACGGACATGCCCGCAGAGCGCGGCACGTCACCAGGGGTGTCCACCGGCCGGTTCGCATGCGTTGCACTCATCCGGCTGCTGGCATATCGCCAACGCTGTTGACTGAAAACTCATGTTGCCCAGTGTCCCAGCACATAACACTACAACCGGCAACTAACAGCACCTGCGACGCCTAGAATGACAGCGTATTCCAGAGAGACCTGCTCCTCTAAAACTGCTTCACGCATCCACTTCCCGCCGGCACCGTTATCCTCAGATCATAGCACACCAGCGCATAGCCGGGGGGGACGCCTGTGTTTACGTACCTCGCGTAGTCGGCCACGGCCTGCATTCAATAGGGACACACCTCTGCGCGAATTCCGCTCTCAGCGGTAAGTAATGCCCTAATGTGCTCCTTTGGTCTCTGCTCGTAAACAACCTCTGCGCTTTCAGGTCGTGCTACTGATGCTGCGCCGCAGGAGAAGGCCTTCTACCTCGAGGTAACCCTGCCGCCAAGCCGTCCGCGAGGTTGAAAACTACCACTCGTGTGCGGTGTCGGTAAAATTCCAGCCCGCTTCTTATTCTGCATAGACTGCACTACGTCATGACAAATTGTAACCGACTCTGCACGTTAGCAACTGCGCACAACAAGACAAACCTAGGCGATGAGCCCCTGCCATGAGACGTCCGCTGTTACGAGTGGCTGAGCACGCACCTAGCACATCTAAAAGGTCATTCCACTGTCCGTGCGGATCCGGGGTACCGGTAACGCGATGCAGGTCGTCTGCGCTTGGTTTCACAGCCGTATCCGCATATACGCTCAACCATTTCACTGGCACTCACTCCGACAGTACGGTTACGCCATATAGCCAAGATAAGGCGAGCTCCAAGCTGCATCGAATGTGCGCCCGCAATCGCTTCCTTGTCGCACGGGGCGACCACGCTCCCCCAGTACATAGGCACCCGCGTTCGTACGAAAAGCAGCCGCCTAAAGTAGACTAAAACAATACATGCTATAGTTCGCGCCGGCGCAGCCCCCGTAACAGCTGCACAGACCCGTCTGATGTCCTACCTCCTCCTCGTCATTCTTATTGCTCTACCACCACGAGACCCTTCCAGCGCTGTTCTGTCGCAAGCTTCTGGGAAACGCAGACGCAGCGACGCCACAGTACGGTACGCTGTTTGAAAACAATATCTCTAGCGACGCATCCCGCAAAAAGCACTGGGGAAAAACGATGCGCCTAGAACGTTTTCGTCATCCTGCGAGGCACTGTATAGTTCTGCCGCCTCGAACTCGTCTAAGGACACTAGAAGCTGCCGCTAATTTCGCCGGATCCCCCGCGTTCACCAGCGACAACTAAGCCACAACAACGGTGTTCCACCATATATTCGAAGTTGACCCGCCAGGAAGAGCAAACACTCCTCGCATCTACGGCGCTCCCCGTCGTCCTGCGCAGGCGGGACGCGTCAGACCGGCTTTACAGAGGACTGCGATCCACTGAACCATCGACTGAATGGAAGCGGCATGGCCTTAAAGGCGTAGTACCACGGGTACATAGTTTCGTCCATGTGGACACCTCTGCGAACGCAGAGGTGCGGATACCGCTGGGCGCCAATTCATCCGAACGGCAGTACCTGATGATTTAGACTTTCTTACCGTTGACAGTGGGGACGCAGGAAGGACGCGAGGTGCTACACACTACGCGGGACCCTCGCTACAGAGGTGATTTGGTGTTGTGACCCGTGTCCCCGCGTCCGTACAGGAGCTCTATCCTATTAGGAATTGTCACGGAGCAGTCTCGGAGCGGATACAGAAGTAGCGGTGCATATTGTGAACCGTGGTGTATCCCGATGAAACTGCACGCATCTTTCTGCTTACCCAGCAGCGTCCTGGTATTTTTACGAACGTGTTCGCGTGCGCACGTAAAATCGCTCATGATACATGCAGACTCGCGCACTTACGCAATGCGTCCTGCTAGGTGCCTCTTCGTCCGTGTGGCGCAGCCCCAGCGTGGCGGGCGGGTAGTCCGCACCACACGTTCAGCCGGGCCGCGCAAACCCTACTGCCGTCCAAGCGATCGCTACTGAGGCGCGACTCCGCCAGGACGCCACTGGTAAGCAGAAAGATGCGTGCAGTTTCATCGGGATACACCACGGTTCACAATATGCACTGCTACTTCTGTATCCGCTCCGAGATTGCTCCGTGACAATTCCTAATAGGATAGAGCTGCTGTACGGACGCGGGGACACGGGTCACAACACCAAATCACCTCCGTAGCGCTGCCATTCGCCGGGCCGCCCCAGCATGCTTTTCTCTTCCAGCACGTCACGTCACTCAACACGCGGCAGTTGCTCTGAAAGACACTGTTGTTCGGCCCCTTCTCCATGTACCACCCTCGCTGTCCGTGCGTCCGAACTTTAGTCGCGTCTGTTTACTGTTCATGCTGGTCCGGCTTTTCTTGAACTGTGCCGCCGACGACCTCAGCAATGGATTCTGCTGCGTCCCGCCGACGGGCAGAGAGCCCGCTTTCCGCCTGCACGTCCTCGCCAACCTCCACAAGCTGTCGGATACGCCTCTGAAACGAGTACGTTACAAAATAATATAACGCGGACACTAACCCGTCATTTGTACAAAGCGCAATTGAGACAAGGAAAAACTGCTCTGCCCTTTGTGAGGCGTCGCATGCGGGAGATGGAGTGGATTCCCTCTCTTTTTGGCCCGCAGTGGAGATTTAAACCGGCGAGCAACACCGCTCGTGTTACAACTTTGAGAACAAGTCTCGTAACCGACAATACCCATGAAGAAGTCTGAAAAAACCTTAGCAATTGAGCGTCAGAAAGGGAAGCCGCGCCGATGGGCTCGGCGGAGGCGACACCCTTGGAGCAAGGCTGCGAAGGCCTCGCTCACGCGATCGCACAGCTTCCCTCGCTGCAACCTCGCTGTCAGTGAAAGCAGTCTCAACGTCTTCCTCCTCAGCCTCTGCCAGCCTCCCAGGAACAAGTGGACTAAGCCGGTAGGCGACCTTGGGGCCGGGGCTTGTGAGCAGCCTAGAGGGAACGGGCACGCGTGCCGCGCCCTCAACAGTACACGGCCGTACCGCTACAGGAAACAGGAGTATGCCTACAGCCTGCAGAACGACGACAGAAAGCGGCGCCATGGAAATTATACGGTGGTTTCCCCCCTGTCGCAGCTAGTGTAGGGATAACGTGACACGCGCTGTTGCTCCCGCGTGCAAGAACTACTTCTTTTCGTCCTCCTCCTCCGCCTTCCCGCATGCTCCTTCCACTCCCCTCCTTGAGAAAGTGCGCCTCCTGCCCTAATGGAGGGGCTCGTCTCATTGACGCCACGGCGAAGCCGCCCGCGGGGACACAGTATGGTGGCGGGCTCAACAAGAGGCCTTCGAGAAACCCGGCAGACGTTAACACCCCCAGACGCACGTAGCTCAAGCGACAGCCGCCGCTGCTGCACTTGTCTTCAAGGCTTTGTAAAGAGAAATACGAATTGATGACTCCTGCTTGGAATGCCGGCACCACTTCCGAGCGAAGGGCAAGCTCTACCGCTATCTGAAACGCAAGAGGCGGAGCAAGGGAGCCGGACACAACGTGTACCGCAGCGCGCTTCCTTCGGATCAGCGCCGCCATCGAGACGCCTCCGCTTGCAACGCTTGCCCGGCCACTGGGCAGGCGCGGCGGTATTGGCGGTACGCTGGAGAACCAACCAGCGGGTTCATTCGCCTCATATTCGGTCAGACCCACCGTACAAAAAATGCATGCCGTCGCCCAGCGCCCACTGCCGCCCAGGATGCCTTCCTATCGAGGCGTGACGCACACCCGCCCACATAGCGCCAGCCGCGACGCACACGGGGCGGTGTGGACGCTTGTGTTAGGCCGGTACACGCTCCATGTTGCTCGGTCCTTCCCATTTGCGCGCTGCCTGGGCCAGAGTATACGCGTCGCCAACGCGACGCATCACTGCCCAACATTCGGGAGTAATGGAGCCCGGCAGCTTCGTTCCGGCTGCACGCAGTGGTGGGAGCAGCTAATTTCCAACCCATGGAGAATGGGAAGAGTGTGCCTCCAGCCCTGAATGTGTATATTTGTACGTGCACGCGGGTGGACCACTCTCGCACACCACTGCGGGACCGACCGCCTTCTGCGCCGTGCGAGCGAGCTGACGGATACGGACGAGACAGGCTTTGCTTATGCGTGGGAGTAGACGGCGTCTCTGGAGAGTCTGAGAGCAAGAGTACCTCGAAAAATTTACTCGCGAAAATGACCCCCGGCCGCTCAGCTCTGCGCCGACTCCAAGAGCCGACTCATCTGTATGAAACAGTGCCCTCCAGCGAGGCTGCCGTACGACACGCCGTAAACAACAGGCGCTGTGGCGCCCTCAGCGCAACAAACGCACATAGCTGCGGCAGCCTGCGCGCGCGCTGGCGGATGCGAGTCTGCGGCGTCCTCCATCGGAAATTTACCCTAGTTCTGCAGGCGCAGGAGTATGCAGGGGCCGGAATATCGTCCTGAAGAATCCTTGCTCTACATTGAGTCAGCTACCACATCGCTTCCCAAGGCAGTGGTTGGCCGTTCTCCTCATTTTCCTCTCCTGTCGCCGTGTTCTTGGATTCAAATCGTGTTATCTGTCTCGCGTTGCGCTGTCTTATATAGAGCACGGAATCGTGTTTCATCTTAACTTAAACTCTTGCGCAGAATCTGCCTCAAAGATCGTAGAGATCGGCCTACTGCCTATCGCCCTGCTCTCCTTCTTCTCACCTGCACCCTGCGTGCCGTGCGAATGAGACAGCAGCACACTGGTCTGTAGTAGAGTGACGGCGTCTGTTTGAGCCACCCGCGCACAGCCGGCTGTCTGGCGATGTCTATCAAGCATTATAGCGGCTGGTAGGCAGTCTTCTCCGTTGAAACTGGTTGCTAAGAAGTTCCCCTTTCGCCCAGGTCATCCATTTTAACTACTGTCAGGCGGCTTTGTCAATGTAAACCTAAAGAATTTGCCCTTTACCCAGATCACTCATACCGCCGATGCCGGGACGGAAGCGGCTGTGGAGAGTGACGGCGCCTGCGGATGCTTCCGACGTGCTTGCACCCACGCACGCCCACGCAGTCTTGCAAACCGTTTTAGCGGCCCACAGCGCTCACCTGTATACACAGCAGGTGTCCGTGCGGTTGGAGCAGAAGCGTCTCCGTGCTACAGTGCCTGGTTCGAGGTGCTGGGCTTCCGCGTATAGAGGATAGTGATCGACCTTCTTCGGAGGCAGAAACTGTAACAGGCTACATATGGGAGGAAGTACATTCAGCGGGAGTGGATTAGCGTGGCCCTCATTGCGGTCTCCTTCAGGCGTGCCTAAAACCTCCACTATCCCCTTCCGAATCACTGCGGAGTATTTCAATCCTTTGAGGTTGCGCCACTTATTTCCGCGGGCCCGGAGCTGGAACCTCAGAATCTTCGGGGTACCTCGCCGATGCCGGTAGCACGGACGTGTGTGAAGAAGCCAACGCTCAGCGTGTCACTGGTACTCGTCACAGAACTTGCAAAGCGTGGAGCTGTGGACTTCGATCTCAAAGTATTTCTCAGCTGTGTAGCCCCTGCCTTACAACCTCGAACGGTCTACGTGTGCGCTTTAGGCGTGGTCTGGGCGGAGCCCGCATATAGACTACGGCATCCCGCGTGGTGTCAGCAAACAGGGTACAAATCCGACGGTTGCTATGGCGTCCGCCGACCGGGTGCAGGAAGAGCGGAGAAGAGCGCCTTTCAATTCTTTGCCATAGTTCAAGACGTTATGATGGCTCAAAACTAATGTAGGGGGAACGTCTGTCACATCGAGGTGCAAGGAGGTCTCCACGAAAGTCATAGCGCTAGTTTCCACTTTGCTGGCAGAACAGCTTCGCACGGCCAGCACATATGATGCAAGCGGGGAAGACCGGCGGTGGTATGTGTGCGGTGGGTGGCGACCCGCAGACGTCGTCACTAGGAGCGCACTGCGACTGAAGAAGCTACTGCGGCGCCACGGAGAGCAAGCCGGCGTCCGCGCAGCCTTAGCACGTCGCCTGCCACCGCGCCTCCCTCGTAGCAACTATGACGAACCGTCCTAAGCAGCCTCGCGGCATGCAGTACGGGATACGGTACGACATGAAACGCTCCACACCGTACCGCCGTAGCATGCCCATGCTTCAGCCTGTCCATCAGGAATTCTGAACCGACAACACAAAAAGCAGCGGCTCACAATTGGAAGGCAGTCGCTCTACAAATATGCTGCACACCGCTATTGCACGCGTTTCAGCGGCCTAAAGGAACAGTGCGTCAGCTGCGCAGTGTAGCGTAATCGTATGGTCCCAATGGCGTAGTACTACGGAGTACGTGTCGTGCCACTTTCTCAGCTGGCGCCTCCGCCCCGCGCGCGGACACTTCGTGTTCGTACGCTGATACTGATGCTGCTAGTATTATTCTCGCCAGGGTGAACGCTTCCGCTGCGGCTCCTACTGCCTCTATCAGTACTACCGGGCCATCCCAAAGACACCCACACCCTGCCGAAACGTAACCGTGGACGCTTTTCGCTCCGCCACTACAACGAGGACTGCGGCTGCTGCAACGACTTCTGCTCTTATCTCAGTATCTTTCTTACATGTTTACTTACGCGAAGTGGTGCGGTGTTCACAGGCAGAATCGCGCCAGCGTCGGGGCAGCCACGCATCTGCGGTCACGGGACCAGGCGACCTTTTCTCTACGTCTCCAGCCTTTCCTTGTGCAGCGCATCCTTCGCGAGCGGCTCACACATCAGGTGGTACCGCGGATCGAGCCGTGTTTTAGTGTTGTCTCAAATTGGCCAGTGACTGCTACGCCATGCATGGGCCAAGCACGGCAACTGACCAGATCAGTGCGCGGTTGCTGTTTCTGGCACCATCACACGCACACAAGCGGTTGCAGCTTGTGAGAACACGTCAACGTCGAGCACGTCTCTACGCTAGGTTTCGTCCCCGTGACCGTCAGATCAGCATACCCGTGTTTTTTAGGGAAGCCTCTAGAGGGGTCTTGCCGACATCTCAGCGGGTCTCCATTGTTAGCACGCCGCAGATTCTCCACAAAGGACTGCGGCAGACTGCTTTGCAAGATAAACCAGTACCTGTTTCCTGCGTATCAAGCGGTCAGAATGAGTTGGATTCCTGTTTAGGGCGGTGGAATTGTGCCTGGCATGAGGCGGCAGACATCGCGGCCGACTGAGTGCGATTCAACCGCCCCGATCCTAAGCGGGATCACGTCTTGATTAGGCGCTTTGTGGCAGTCTATTTTCCACTTATGTCGACCTTGTGTTTACGTCATGCTGTGCGCACGCGTGCAGCGTGGACGTCGGTTTTACGCCAGGCACACCGAAGTGCGGTGTGCGCGGAATCTCTGCGCTCCTTTTAGTCTCGAGCTGCTGCATCCAGGGGTACCACATTTGCACTGGTGAAAGGGGGGCGCTCAAACTGGTTCCAGAGCGAAGAAAAACGCACTCTAATCTCTTCGAAACAAGCCCTGTTTCGTTTTTCGTAGGCTAGAGTCGGGGACCACTTAGCGCGGCCTCTAGGCTATTCACACATTTCAAGTCGTTGCCAAACAACGCTTTCAGGAGCGGCAGCACCCATTAGGTCAGAAAGGATGCAATCTTAACCCACTTTCCTTCACGCGCCGCTCGGTAGAAAGCGCACCGTAACAGAGTTGACGACAGCACGTGCTGACAAGTGAGTCGCATGTGTTGCTATTACTAGCGTTTGTACGACACACGCAGACAAAGCGCCTTCGCTGCTCGCTTGCCACCTCGCAACCCGCGCTGCGTCAGCATGTACACGCAGATCCACTTTAGTGACCTGCAGTAAGTGGACATGGTACTTTTGGCCACGAGCATCGAGCAGAAGGCACAGCTTTGTCAGTAGGGACACCGCGAGCCATGGGACTTCCTACCCATAAAGAAGTGGTGCTCAAGCTGACTGCTGGCCGGCTGTATGCAAGCGCTGATGGAAGAGCTGCGACAGCATGCGCTCGCAGGCACCAGAACAGGTGGGAGCCAGCGCTATCTTCGAGCAGTGGTATGCGTCTTATTCCTTTGTACACGGGCGCAGAAAACTATCTTCTTTGCTATGTGCAGCGCTCATTCTGTGCGCGTGCAGTTTTCGGCGCTGCTAAGTCGTGGCCATCTGCGTGAACGCCTGTTACAGTATATGCGTTATTTATTCGTACAGATAAATGCATGAATATGTGGCGCGCGTGCATTCGTGCACACGCCTATTTGATTTGGCAAGGCAACGCAGCCCGTCCGCACTCTGCGTCTGCAGATGGTCAAGTTTAGATGAACCTCAGGGTAGTCTTCCGCTTTCTGGCTTAGCGCGGAGTGGGGGCACACAAAGATTCCGTATTCTGGCGTGTTCGATCTTACTGCAGACACACAGTAGCATTGCGACTACGGGTGCGAGCCCGTACGCGCACGCGAATAGTTCTGGGCGGTTTTGGCGCGTACACCATACCCGAGATCGTCGCGAAGGTCTTCTTCCTTGTCTCTCGTGCCTTGCTGGTGCGGAATTACCCCCCCACAGCGGCAGCGCCATCGCTTCATCATCCTCTTCTTCACCGTGAAAAAAGAAATAGGAAGACGTAAGCTCTAAACCCTAAACCCTAGTCCCTGAACCGTAAACCCTAGCACCTAAACCGTAAAACCTAAATCTTAAACACTAAACCCTAAACCCTATACTCAGTTTTTTTATCGTATGAGCCAAGCGGCATAGACACAAGGCCCGGCCGAACCCGCAGCTTGTCGCCATCATTTCGCCACAGATTCCATTGTGGACTCGGAGCGCAGCTGCTATAATCTCTTTTATAGACGTGTCTTTCCTCCTTTTATCTTCGCCTTTTACTAGCGAAGGGGGAGATCGTCGCAAGGGTTTTCTTCTTCTTCGCCCGTGGCTTGCTGGTGCCAAATTACTTCCTCACAGCAGCAGCGCCATCGCTCCATCATCCTCCTCTTCAACGTAAAACAAAAAGTAGGAAGACGTAGGCGTTGGCCTAAGGCGCATAGTTTCATCGTCAAACACTTTGGTAGAAAGAAGACGGAAACAAGCAGGAGGTCCTCCGCAACAGTTTTCTCCTTCTTCCCTGAACCCTATACTTCGTCTTTTTATCGTATCAGGCAAGCGGCATAGACCAAAGCCCGGCCGACCCCGCAGCTTGTCGCCATCGTTTCGCCACAACTTCCGCTGTGCACTCGGAGCGCAGCTGCTATGATACCTTGTATAGACGTGTCTCTCCTCCTTTTCTCTTTGTATTTTATTAGCAAATGGGGAGGTCGTTGCAAGGATTTTCTTCTTGTTTTTCTTTCGCGGCTAGCTGGTGCGGAATTACTTCTTCACAGCAGCAGCGCCGTCGCTCCATAATCCTCCAGAAGTAGGAAGACGTAGGCGCTGGCCTAAGGCGCCCAGTTTCAGCGTCGAACTGCTTGATCGAAAGAAGACGGGAACAAGAAGGGAGGTCGTCCGCAAGAGTTCTCTCCTTCTTCTCTTCTCCTTCCTGAAAAAGGAAAAGAAGAAAAAGAAGAATTTCTCGGGAGAAGATTCTCGTTCTTCTGTTCTCTTCTCTTTGCTGGAAAAGCAGAAGAAGAATTCCTCTGAAGAGTTCTCTCCTTCTTCTCTGCTGAAGACGCTGTCGCCTCTGGGATGTATGCAGCCGTTGATGTTGCGCTGGAAACTGTTGCTGCTGGCGGCAGAGGGCACATGCTGCCTCTGCGAGTCACAGGGCGGCGTGTCCGTTAGGACGCAGCAGGTGCTGTGCGGCTCAGCCACTGACAGTCTGGTGTGTGGTAAGGAAAGGGAGGCAACTGCATTCATACCGGCGGCAACAGCAGCCCGTAGAATGCCTACGTGACTGCACCAGTCGCATCGTGGAAAAGATGAGATAAATCCGTCTTTCTTACCGGATTGAACACAAGCCCCTTTCCAGGCAGGAAGCTCCCCACCCGCAGCAGCGGCAGTTGGGCACACGTGGCAAGCAGCAGCGACCGCTCAGCATCATCATCTGAAACAAAGTAGCTCTTGCGGTCAGCATCGCATCATGAATCCGATAATCATGCCAAAAGGCCATTCTGTCCAGCGGGTGGGGGGATAGGCAACGTGCCACCGCCTGCAGAAAAGCGCTTCTTGTTCGTCGTACAGGTGCGTGCACCTATACCTATATATATGCGTATCTACGAATATGTGCACATATATGTCTACATATATACACATACATATATATACATATTGTTGCATTCGTGCCAGCTCTCACCGGCAGAACTGCACAAGCAAGCAGCAACAACCACCAAAACACACGCGGAGGCACCTACTGCGGGTGGAATATAAGCTTATACTGGTGTAGCGCCGGAGCATATACCCGCCCGCGTGTCCGTAGGCTTGCACACGCATATAGACACATGTACCCACCCTGAGGAGCATGATGGAGCGGCTCTTTGAGCTGTAGCTTCAATAAGCATCTCCATCTATGTTGCCGCGGCAGGTGCCACCAGCGCTACCCTTTTCTTTCTTCTTTGTCGGTGCTTCATCTCCGCCGTGTACAGTGGACAGTTCGTTCCTGCGGACACGGAACCAGTGCACGCACATGCACATCCGACTACTATGCGGCCGTGGCGCATGCAGCTACGGTTGTACACATGAGATGTGCTTGCGTATACAAGATATGTGTGAACATATAAATGGAAACGTTGGTGTGTTTCCCTGGATGCGCGCCACTTTTAGAAAACTGCGAATTCGGTAATCCTAGGCACAAACTGAACCGCGTGCTGCGAGTACGTGCCCGGTCTATACATTCAGCTACGCGCGCGAGTACTGAAGCAAGTGTCAACCTGTGTGCGTGTGCGCACACGTCGTGGAAAAACATACCACTGGTGAAGGTACACCCCGCATTACGATTTTGTATATATACATGTGTTGTTGCCAGACAACAGCCAGCCGACATTCTTTGTCGAGTACGAATAAACAGTTGTCTAACCCAGGCTGCGCCCTCTAAGAGATAGAAGCATGTGCCATGCTATGCGTCTCCGGCGGACATCCCATCAGAGAGCCTGTAACGATACTGACTATTGACGACGTGCAGATCCTAGGTATACCTGCACACTTGAGCACACTTTCGGCGTACGCCTTGGGTTGCAGCACATACGCGTTCAGTACGCTGAAGGAAATTCTTTCTTCAGTCCAACAGGCACTGGCGAATTTTCGCCTGTGTCGCGGTTCGTCGCCTCTGCTGCATACAACGGACGACATCTTGCCGCCGTCGAAGCACCCACATGAGAATCCTGCCTAGCGCCGGTCGACCCGCGAACGCCGCCAACGGTGCCTTAGGTAGGCACGCACGTGTACGTCTAACGGGATTACACTAAGGCCTCGTTGCACTCATCTGCTGTTGGTATGGCGCGGGCGCAGTGTATCGTACGCTCTCGTAGCTTCTCACTTTAGTATAGGACACTTCAGTCGGCGCCGACCAGAAGCCACTAACTGCCCTCAGAAAAGCAGCGTATCGCTGACAGGCCTAGCCCTCCTGCCGGCAGCGCCCCCTCAGCCTCATGGCACATTGATGCGTACAAGCCAGCGAAGGCTGTGTAGACATGCCTAATCTACTCGGTCGGCTACTCCGCCGGACACGCACACCATAGCATGGACAGCCTTCCCGGCAATCCAACCCGCCTGGTAAGTAAGGTCTACGTGTCTCTCTTTGGCGACAAGGATAGAAAACGTCTGCGTGGCTTCCGTGGTGCCGATGATTTTTCGCCGTGCATCGGAGGAAGTACAGCGGACAAGCCGGCCGATACGTACAACAGTACCACTTGATGCTTCATCAGTGATAGCCAAACGTGCCCATGGCAGATGCCACAGCGTCCAAGGGCAAAGTCGAGCGCCCGCATCCCTGGTATCGTACGCTTAGACAAAGGCTGGCGAACGAAGCGACACGCCATCACAGGCCTCACATTCAGCGATGCCGAAGCTTGCGCGCCAAATAATGCAAGAACTCTCATTATGCGCTATGCTTCCCATAGGAATCCGCTGTACGGTTACTCCCATGCAAGTCGTTTGCGCGCTACGCGCGCACCGGTATCCGCAAGTATGCTCAGCCGCCTCACTCGTATCCTGCCAGAAGCTTGGCGATATAACGCAAACAAATTCAGCCGCCATTCGTCTCACGAACGCCTGCCATCACATCAGTGTGTCGCAGAGCATCGCGCCCCCCACATTGCGTGAGCGTACACGTTAGTAAGAAGTGCATCAGTGCACACCGGAGGCATGACCACATCCCTGTATTCGTGAAACTAGCGCGGCTTATGTTGTTGCGGTACCGCTCACATTTCAAAATGAGGTACGAATACGTGTCGACAAAAATCTTTTTGGCTGTTACTGTGTTCAGGTTCCCATCGAAGTAGCTGATATACTCGCCGTCTCAGCGCACGACGAAAGCGTTGACTTTCGGTCACGAATAACTAACCTCCCCCCCCACGAAGCTGCTCGGGAGTAGTGTTCTCGAACGCAATTGTGTAGCGTGACCGCGACAGCCGCACAGCACGTCACGCCGCTGGACAATAATTCGTCCGCCAGCAACACCAGCTATCACCAGATTGGCCACCACGTCCTACTCGCCCTCCCAGACCCAGTCTGGAAAAGGAATAGCCAGCGACTGCTTAGAGCACAGCAAGAAACGTTGCTACTTGTGCCAGCACGCCCTTGGACACGGAAGGGACGGTGTCGTGCAACTGTTCTACACCCGGCGGGATCAGCGATGTTGCGCCTTATAATAAAATCATCATGCCGGAGCAAGTACATACTCAATGCATCTACAGCGGAGGACGGATCAGATCTGCTCGGCCTCACATGCGCCCTCTTTCGGAAGGCATCGTACTTCTAAGAGGCGCAGTACCGGTGCCTTATGCCGTGGTGACAGCAGAATTAACGGCACCGTCTCCGCTAAAGATGTACGAATTTCTCACCCCACGCGACCGCCCTACGGGAAGCGAGCGCCACCCAACTGCCCCCATGCTGCTGCACAAGATCTGGGCGGGGAGCGCAGCGCATGCAGGATGAGCAAAACGCTACACAGGGGTCTCAGCGGCGACGGCTGCTCCAGTGGCTGCCGCGCGAAACGTCGCAGCACTGCCTATGCAAGCTACTGATGGCACCACACCTCTCGTCCTTGCTAGCACGCTTGCTACACTTGTATGTCCTACCGAAACCCGACTGCCGCAAGCAGACGATGCACGAGCTGGGCGTGAACTAGGCGGCAGGCACCTGCGGGCAAGACCGTATGAGTACCTCCGGTAGCCGGCGTACGTGTCCTTCGTTCATAACACTCCTCCCGAACCCGCAGCCCGGTGTGCGGCCACGCAGTACCTGCGGTAGTCAGCACATCAGCCCCCCCCACCAAGCCCCTGTCCCCCTTCCCGGCCTTCCATGTCGCTGCATGAATGCCTGCCTACGCAAAACTTGTACAGTTGTGTACTCCCTGAAAAGGGCATCTGTCGCAGGAGACTGTTCTCGTGTCTCCAAGTGGTTTCTCTCTAGCATGCACATTTCGAGACCTCTGTATGTAGCGAGGCGCTCACCACCGCGTCTTCTTCATACTGCCGCGTGCCCTTCAAGGCACCCCTTAGAAAAACTGGTACTCTAGGACGCCCTTAACCAAGATCGTATCTCCCTTTCCTGACGTATCAAGTAAATAGCGAGGTGAGCGACAGCGGACGTTCTGGGAACTCAGATGCAGCAGACAATTCCCTCCTCTTTCCCTTTGCGCAGGCGGCGCTCCTGCGTCTCATACACGACTCGGATTATTGCTTGCAGACGCAGCATATACAGCTGGAGGGGATCAGGCCCTTAGCGGCGTGCGAGGTGCGGACCTGCCGGCATGCGCCGCTAGTTGTTACTTGGGTATGCGGCTCAGCCAGCCAGGCTCCCCTTCGAACGGTCGAGGTACTGGTTGCAGCGTTTGCACTTTATCTGGTATTCTCCCTCTCTGTGCACGGACGAGACTTGCTGGATATTGATTCTTGGGTAAGAGTCGTCGGCTTTGGACCCGTTGGCGATGTGGGAGAAGCGCTCCCTCACAAGGCACGCGGGTCGGTAACCTTGGCCTTCTCCACTCCCTTGAAACCCCGCGTCTGCGGATTGCGCTGAGCGACATGCCTTCAGGGTGGCAATATCTGATAATCCAGACTTCCTCAAGAGAACAACAACAACAACCACAACAACGAGACGGTGATACTGCAGGACGCAGGCGTGACGCGCGTGCTAAGACACACAATTTCAGGGGCTTTGACGTGTGTACGGCGGTGTATGCGTGCTAGCTAGAAGTCCCCAAAGTTACGCACACCCGCCATGTGTCCTAATTACGATCTCCGCGTCCGTCTGCTGAGGCAGTTGGCACCACACGTTTAGGTGCAGCGCGGCTACCACTGCTAAGGCGCAGGGTCCAGGGGGGGGGGGAGCGTACTGTACGGCCCGCAATTTCACAAAGTAACATTGCAGCCGCGTAATAAGCGCCGCCACGCTCATCCAGCGCGAGACTGCGCTGCACCGGCGGGCGTCGTGATGCAGCTGTTGGCCTGGGTCTGGCCACGCTCATCCAGCGCGAGACTGCGCTGCACCGGCGGGCGTCGTGATGCAGCTGTTGGCCTGGGTCTGGAGAGGCAGGAATCACCGAAGCACAGGGTCAGTACCGTAGCGCTAGGGTCAATCAGTACAGAGCAGCGGCTCCGTAACCCCTGCTTCTCCACAACCACCGCCGTGCCTGCCTGCCGCTTCATTCCCACCAGGCTTTTCCTCCGGCTAGTCGACATCTTCAATCACACGCTCATCAGCGCGATTACGGGTTCTTTCATGTCTCAAACGCCGCATTCGTCCTACTAACCCCTCGTCGCTCGCCAGAGACCTCGACGCGTCGGACCCCGGCACGGGTCCGCAAGGCGGCATCGACGGAGGTGCCGAGCAAGTAAACAAAACAGACCAGAGATAGGATAAGGACAACCCCCACATAACAATGCGACCTCTGCACTGTGGATGGTAGCTTGTGAAGCAATCATTCAACTTTTGGTTAAAAAAAAACATAAAGACGAAGCCACTGACGCTCAGGTCCACCATCAGGGCGCGGAGGACGATTTTGGCAACGTCCCAGGGCCTTCGATGAGGGTGGTAATCGCCTCGACCCTGAGGGTCGCCATCAGGGCGCGGAAGACGGCTTTGGCGACGCCCCAGGGGCCTTCCATGAGGGTGGGGTCTCACTATCGCCTCGCTATCGGGGCTGTACGCTCCTAGCACCGAGTTGCTCGGCACATCACGCCGTCCGTTCCCCAACCTGGCCCCGCCTCCGGCGCCTCATCATATACGGAAATAATATCCGCATTTCCCTTGTACACGACCAACCTTCGAGCAAGGGGTGCACCCGTGTCGAGGCCCGAATTCACGGCCGGTTGTTAGGCGGCTCACGGGAGCGGACGCACAGACCACGTACTTCACGGTGCACCACTGTGCCAGACCAAGGAAGAGAAGTACGCCACCAGAAGGAGAAATCGACGGACTGGAAGAGCGCGAAACGAAAACTAGTCTACGGACACAAGCCTTGCGCCTGCTGTAGCGACTGCACGATAATTTTTGTTGCTCCGATGGCGAAACCAGCAGGTACAGAGCTTTTTTTTTTCCTGTGCGCTCTATCTTTTCGTACGCCTGTTGTATTCGGCTCCTTAGGAGACTCTGCCCGCTGCCCTAGGGCAGTAACCCGCTGCAAGTAGGCGCTTGCTCTTCCCTTGCGCTCTCCGTCTGCTTGTACGCGAATTGCGCTCCGCTCCCTAGAAGAGTCTGCGTGCCGCCCTATCAGCGTAGTACCTTGCAAAAACGCCATTCCGAAGTCTACTCCCAGTCGGATACGGTGACAGGAGAGTGATACGGAGACGATTCACAAGTGGCCTCAGACAGCGCAGCATCTTTCTTCGCTGCTTACGGCCTCGACCGTCTAGATCCGGAGTCTCGTTCTTCATGCGCTTCGCCGGGCTGCATCATGCCTCAGACTGTACTCGGCATCCAATGGCATGCCATCATACGTATGTTCCAGCGTAAATGCCAATCCATGCAATCTCTACGAAGTGCATGTACAGTACTACTTCAGCAGCATTACCGAACATGGTAATGTCACGTACTGGATCCGCTACATTGCAAGGATCCTCGACTACTTGACCAGCACAAACGCGTCCGAAGTGCCGGCCAGTAACCAGCAGCTGAACACTGGCCGATGCAAAATCGTTCGCGTATATACTCAGTGCTGCGGCTGGGAGTGGCGCCACACTCGGAATTATATTCCGGTGGTTGTTCCAAGTACTCACCTGATCCTTGACGGCTGTAACCGCCATGGAGTCTCCGAGGATACTTAGATCTGCGGTGGCTGCCAGGACTAAAAAGGGCTGAGAGCCCTGCAGCACAAAGCGTCCAGCACACTGAGCACAGCCGGCCATGCAGAGACCTGCGACGGCCAATGTTAATCCCAGGACTACGGTACTCACTGAGCTGACAGACCCCATTGGGACTTCTTCTATACCTCCGTGCCAAAGCACTACGGCAATCCCCGGCATTCTTGAGCCGCCAAGAGCACATATCCTGCATTCAACTGCCGCAGAGCACTGCGCCAAGATCTGAACCAGCGATTACCGACTTTGGAGAAGTTGACTGATCCGCTTGTACCGCTCTCAAACACCCGACAGGTCGATAGTTTTACCGCTTCCGCTAGGACTGGATTACCGGACTATGCTCCCTAACCATCATGTCTCTACTTCTTCATAGGTTTACTGCTTAACCTACGGTACTCCGGTATGTACGGTATGCACCTACTACCTGGGTATATTCTGTGTGTTGTAGTTCGCCGGGTGTATGGTGCTCCATGTTTAGTCCTGGTTGGGTACGTTTTGCCTGTCTCGTATGATCTTCATCAGCCGTTGGGCGTACATAACCACCTACTCGACTTCCAATGTCCTGGATAGTTAGTATTAATCTGGCGTTTCCAC